GTACTGGGTCTTTTTCATTATCATCTCTCTCATCTCAAGAGAATTTGTCTTCACCCTACTTCTACCAATTGCAGTTGCCATCTTTCTCTACTCTCCTTCATAGTAAAACTCTTCTAAAGAATCATCTTTATCTGTGGGCTCCAATTTATCTCTTCCCACTCTCTCATAAATCTCTCTAAACATAATCCTTCCCAAGCATCTTCTAAAGTTACTCCTGTGAAGGTCACCATTGGCCTTCATGCTAAATCCAGGGGTCCAAATCTCTATCCTTACCTTACTCAATCTATTAGAAGCTTGTGGCACAGTTGGTCACTCCATTCTCCTCGATCACTTTCTTCACTTGGCTTTCAGGATTCCATGATCTCTTGGTTTTCTTCTATCTTACTGGTCACTTCTTCTCAGTCCCCTTTCCTGGTTCCTCATTTTCTCCCCAGTCTCATAAAGTTGGAATACAAAACTCAGGGCTTGGTCCTTGGTCCTTTTCTCTCTTCCATCCATTTATGCTCTCTAATGGAACTCATCCAGTATTAAAATGCTGTCTTTATTTTTTTTTTAGTTGTTATACTGTACTTTTAAATTTGTATCATTCTTATCACTGTATTTTTTATTGATGCTTAATAGACATATACATTTCCAGGGTACATAAAATATTTTGATACATTACATAATGTGTAATAATTAAATAGTGGTGATTGGTATATCCATCACCTTACACATTTATCTTCTCTTTGTGCTGGGAACATTTGAATAACACTGCCTATATTCTAAAGACTCTCAGAATACTTGACATCTTCAATTGTACATCTAAGGGACATCTCAAACTACATGCATTCAAATTTTAACCCCTGATGCTTCCGCTAAATAAGCTGCACCCCCACAATCTTCCCATTTCAGTTAACGACCACTTCTTTTTTGACTCCTCTCTTTTTCTCACAACTTATATTCAGTATCTGTAAAATCGAATGGCTCTACCTTCAAAATTTACTCAGAATCCGAGTACTTCTCATTACCTCCAGTGCTATCACACTGGTAAGAACCACCACCATATTTCCGTTATTATAATAGCCTCCTTAATTCATCTCCTTGCTTTCACACCCTTTTCCTCTTATAATCAATTCTCATACTAGCAGCAAGAGCCATCCCTTTACAATGAAAATCAGATCATGTCCCTCCTCTGCTCAAAACTCTACAATGACTCCCCACTTCACTCAAGGTCAGTCTTTACCCTGGCCAAAAGGTCCTATGTAATGTTCTTGTCCACCAGTTACCTCTCTGCAGATCTCCCTTGCAACTCTGCCCCTCACTCACTCCACCCTAGCCACAAGAGATCTTGAGCTGTCCCTCAAACGTGTATCAGGCATGTTTCCATGGCCTGTAACACTTTCTCTATAGATATATTCGCATGGATAATTTTCTCATTTAAGTATTTTGTTCAGATGTCACCTCATCAATGAAGCCTTCCCTGACCACCCAAAATGTGGTTCAGATGTCACGACTGATCCCACATACACACACGTCAAGAGGGTATGAAAGAGGGTACTGCTCACATAATGAGACCTTCCAAGAAGACCAGAGCAGGTTCCCAAACAGGTGGGAAAATGTATGGAGAGAGCAAGGAAAAGAGACTGGCTCGGAGTTTTATGGTGGTTGGTGGGTGGCACTGGGGTAAGAGTTCCTGCACACAGGCCAGGACTTACATGGCTTGAACTTTCCACTAACACCAAAGGAGGGAAGAGATGGGCTTTCTTATCTGCTTGCTCAGGTCGGGGGCAGAAAGAGAAGGGGAGTGGTCGGGCTTGAAAGCTGGCAGCCATCAAACATCAAAATGGAGTCACACTCTTTATTACAACCACACAATTTTAAAATGGTAACTCCTCCCCCTCCAATCTCTACTCGTTATATTCCCCCAGCACTTATCATTTTTGCCCACACTCTGTAATTTACTTGCATTTATAGTTTATTGTCAGCATGTTTATTATCTATTAGAATATAGGGCAAGATTTTGGAAAGTATTGTCATATATTTTGTCTAGATTGTATATATGAGTATTGGGCCACTGATACCTGCCAGGAGCTTGGAACAGTGCCTAGCATATTGAAGGTGCACAAACTTATTTTTTAATGAATTAATGAATGATAAGAAATGTATGCATTATTAGATGGATCATTACTGAATGTGTCAGAGGACCTCATGATAGAAGTGTTTATCACAAATGGCATGGAGAAACTCTTGAATGTAGATTTCCATATTATTAAATATGAAAAAAGCACTATAATATTATTTTTACTACTCTACCTGACTGCTTATATATCTGTGAGTATATGGATACAGAAATTGTGTTCTATGCATCTTTATATCTTCACTGCCTAGATCAGAGTCCGGCAGTGACAGAGTTAACAGATACTGGTTGACTAAATAAATAGGTCGATGAACAAACTAAATGAAAGAGCTGACACTAACAATTGCAGCACATTTAAATAATTAGCCACCTACAAGTTTCTTAAATAGTTCAGTGCAATATGATGCAGAAACTGTTACTTTTTCAAAATAGGTTTGTTTTTAATATTTTAATTCAATGTTTTAGAAAAAAACAATTTTAGGCTTTATTTGTAAAAAGGTTTAGTCTTTTTAAAAAGTAAATTAAATGTATTTAAAAAATCAAAGCATTGTTAATTTGTTCATTCTTTTTTTATATACTTTTTTTGGTTTTGTTTTACTTTAAATTCTAGAGTACATGTGCACAACGTGCAGGTTTGTTATATATGTACATATGTGCCACGTTGGTGTGCTGCACCCATTAACTCGTCATTTACATTAGGTATTTCTCCTAATACTATCCCTCCCCCCTTCCCCCACTCCCTGGCAGGCCCCGGTGTGTGATGTTCCCCACCCTGTGTCCATGTGTTCTCATTGTTCAATTCCCACCTATGAGTGAGAACATGCCGCGTTTGGTTTTCTGTCCTTATGATAGTTTGCTCAGAAAGATGGTTTCTAGTTTCATTCATGTCCCTATAAAGGACATGAACTCATCCATTTTTATGGCTGCATAGTATTCCATGGTGTATATGTGCCACATTTTCTTAATCCAGTCTATCATTGATGGACATTTGGGTTGGTTCCAAGTCTTT